ATAGCCGTAAAAAGGTATTTCAATCCCAAATATCCTTCTCAAGGGCCAGTTACTGTTCATCGTCCATATTAGTAGCAGCACACCCCGCCTATACCCGAAGGTTCCGGGTTGACCGGCGAGCGTCCTGGGCGTTTTCATGAATGAAATCGCCATATATTTCCACATATTTCGCATAGTTTGATAGAGGAAATATAGAAATGGTTTAGTTTATCCAGGTTTCTGTTTTTTCAGCCACAGGCAAGCGGAATTGGCAACCATAGACAGCCCTCGGCGGAACATGAACTGCGCGGAGTAGACGCGAAAAGCTGCATGCAGCCGCCAGATTTTCGTGCTGAAAAAACTAACAGGATATTCAGTGTTCACCGCAGAGGCTTCAGGGCCCCCAGTGTGCCCGCGCCTTCTGTCCCAGCCTCACGACATTCATACTTGAATATGGCGTCAAGTGGGTTGGTTACGCGGCCGACAATGTTTTCTATACAGATATTCAAGAACAGAAAGACCCACTCGGTCTTCTTATTCTTTTCCGTTGTTTTTCTGCTGGCGTCAGAGCAGCATTTCGTTGTTGCTGCGGCCTCCTACGCACCGTTGGGCGACCAGTGGACAGCTGCTGCCGCCGTGCATCCCAGTACACCTCTTCAGTTCCTCCGCCAGCATATTTTATTGGAAAACGTGACGAATGCGAATGTCGTCCCCTCCGTTGAGGAGAGCAGCGTGGTTTCTGCAAGGTATGTGCGAGATGGTAATATAAAAGTTCCTGATGCCTTGCACGAGACTCTCAACTTCGACAGCTCCTTTCATCCGGAGTCACCAGACACTCAACGGCCCCTGCCCGTGAAAGTCTCCGGGATAGATGACCAAGCCGAAGCCCTTCAGCAGCAGCTCCGCGCTCAGCAACTTAGAGATGTTTCGGATGCAGATAGAGGCGATTGGGATTGGGCCACTGAGGAGGAGTGGGCAGAGGGGGAAGGGCAAGGAGAAAAGGAGAAGGAGAATCAGAAGGAAGAGGAGCACCACGAAGAAAACGGCAACGATGATCAGGAGCCTGTAGAGGGGGCCGGAGTTGTCCCGCAGTGGCAGCTGCAAGGGTCTGCAGCAGAAGATTCTTCTGTTGCAACAAACGTAAATACCAGTGGTGCTGGCCGCAGGACATCAGACAGGTTCGTGGACCCACGCAGTGAGCATCAGTGGCCCCAGCAGCAGCAACAACAGCAACGCAACGGGCAGCAGTTTGAGCAAGGCGACGATGACTGGCTTGGACTCCCTCCGCAGCAGCAGCAGCGGCAGCCATTGCCGCCGCAGCAGCAGCTGCTGCCTCCAAACCGAAATCCTTACGGTCGAGGAGGAGAGGATGAGTTCCTAAATCAGGGCCCCATCACCAATGGCCCAACCGGCATGAGGGGCCAGTCTGGGGCCCCGTTTGGGGGCCCCTCTGGAGGCTCCTTTCGGGGGCCCCCTCCAGCACCACACGGCATTTCACCTTTTGGGCAGCATGACGGCCCCCCTGGAGGCCCAGCTGGTAGTTCGCCTTTCGGCCAACGGGGCGTACCCGCTGGGCTCCCTTCTGGGGCTGCATCTATGGGCCCACGTGAGGGCCCCGTTGGAGGCCTACCTGGGGGCCCACCTGGGGGCCCCTCTCGCGAACAATTTGGAGTACAGTCTGGGAGCCTACCTGGAGGGGTACCTGGAAGTTCACGTGTGGGGCAATCTGAGGGACTTGGGGGCCCCCCTCTAGGGTTTGTAAGGGGCCCCTCAGGGGCTACCCCTTCCGGGATGTCTGCGGGCTTACCTGGGGACGCACTAAGGATCCCCGCTGGGGGCCCACCTGCTGGATTCGCAGGACAGGTAGCTGGAGNTTACCTGGGGACGCACTAAGGATCCCCGCTGGGGGCCCACCTGCTGGATTCGCAGGACAGGTAGCTGGAGGCGCACATGGGGGCCCCATGCATGGCGGACCCCAAGGGGGCTTTCCTGGAAACATACCTGGGGGTGCACGGGGGGCCCCAGCTGGGGGCTTTCCTGGGGGCCCCTTGGGGGTTGGTATCCCCCAAAGTAGGGCTGGGGATGAAGACGAAGGATGGCTCAATGAGGGAAATATTCCCTTTCATGGACAAAGAGATGGAGAGAGAGGCGCTCAGCAGCAGTTGCAGCAGCTGCAGCAGCAGCAAATGCAGCAGCAACTGCTGCAGCAGCAGCAGCAGTTGCCACCGCCAGGGATGGTTCAGCAGCAACCGCAGCAGCAGGGTCTGCCGGCGCCTCAGCAGCAGCTGCAGCGCACAGCTCATGAGATGCAGCAAACAGTTAGCCACCTGCAGCAACAGGCTGCGCAGCTGAAGCATCAGCTGCAGCAGCCCATTCAACAGCAGCCGCAGCCTCCNACCTGCAGCAACAGGCTGCGCAGCTGAAGCATCAGCTGCAGCAGCCCATTCAACAGCAGCCGCAGCCTCCACAGCAGGATCAACAACGGCAGCAGCAGCAGCAGCGGCTTCAACAGCAGCAGCAGCTAGAGCAAGAGCGAGAGCAGCTGGAGGCTCAGGAGGGGCCACAGCAGGAGCAAGAAGAAGATGGCTCAGCAAGGCGACGAAGACGGCAGTTTCTGAATGCTGCTTTTGCTGCAGCACAAGCAGCAGCAAACACTTTCTTTGAGGTTGCTGCTGAGCCGGAAAATTGGGGGCTGTCGTCAGCTGAGGGGGAGGGACAAGGGCAGCGCATGAATCTGCAGCAACTAAACAACCAAGTAGAGAGCATAGTCAACGACTTCCTCAGACCTATACAAGCAGATGCCAACAGCAGCAGCAACAACAGTAGCAGCAGCAGCAGCAGCAGAAGCAGCCGAAGAGGCAGCGCAGCCCTGCGAGCTGCAAGTACTGAAGATAAAGACGACTCTTACTTCCAGGGTGAGCAGGACCCTGAAGTGCGACAGGAGTACATACAGCAACAAAGAGACCGCATGCAGCAGCAGCAGCTGCTGCAAGAGCACCTCCGGAGTAAGGCGATGCGGCAGCACCTGCAGGAACACCGCCAACAGCAGCAGCAACAGCAGCAGCAACAGCAGCAAGGCGGAGAGCTACAAGGAGCTGCTACTACAGATCGTGGGGAGGACCCAATAGACTATCGCAGGAGAGCTCTTGAAGGGTTTAACGCCCGCAGGCTGCCCGCAGAAACCTCTTAGCCGCTCTTACTAACAGAGCAGAGTGTAGGGGGCCCCTTGGGGACCCAGCCCAGGTGGGCCCCCCGAAGGGCCAAACGGCCCGCGGCCACACTGCAGGTAGCGCGCAGGGGCCCTGTTGAGCTCAGCAGCAGCTGAGCTCAACGCAGTATAGACGGAGATACAGGAAAGCGCACTAGCGCATGTCACAGCCATCTGGCCTTAGAAAAGGAACACAGGCTGCAGGTGGAGTTTGCATGAGGGGCCCCCGGGCCCCCCCAGCAGGCACTCCAGTACGAGACCAACCACCACACATGTATTCAATTCATGCACAAAACGCACCACCAAGCATGCATGCACTTGATGTTTGCGCTCGATAGAAGCAGCTAAAATGCAGTACACGTTTGCCCTGCAGGCATACAAGGCCTCGGGCCACGTAGATACGTTTCCCCTTCGTCGTGTTGTTCCCACTAGTCAGTGCAAATACAGCCACCAATGCATACACTACAAGCCTCCAAAGGCTGCATGCAACGGCAGACATAGGTGAAGAAGTGTGTAGAACTAAAACGCCTATCAAACAGCCGCACTTGCAAGCGAAACACATTCCG